AACCGTCTGTGTTGAAGATTATGCTCAATCGCCACTATATAATGAAGCGAAAGAAGAACCGGTGGATTTCGAAGAAATATCGGCTACAGACCTGTTGTTGAGTCAGTCTGCTCCATCTTCAAGCTCTTCGATGTCGTTCGACTCCCCATCATCTACGAATAAAGGTGCTTGTGATTTTAAACTGGTCGTTGTCTGGTACACTGAAAAGGCGTTCATAACTTGCGAATGTGGGGAATCTGCGATTCCCGTGAGTCGGAGGCAAAGGATAGTATTTGTCCGAATCTGAGCCGTCAATGTATGACAGAATCCGCGATTTTGAGGAGTCAGTGACTACGAATCACTTGGGAATACATTCACTTCGCAGGCTAGTTGACTACGCTATGTCCGGCTTCACAATTTTGTTCGAATCGCTGGTTTACCGAAAACATAGGCAGACGGTGTCAGCCGACGCTTATCTATATTTCTGCTGCGTTTCTCCCAAATCGCAGATCTTCTGAATCAGTCCGTGAGCTTTACTTTTGAATAGCGGATCCTCCACATTCTCAGAGTGTCCTATCGAAACTAGCAGTCCGTCTTAGTCTGAATACTTGTGGAATGTTTTCTTTTATTCAGCTGTAACACTCACTGCCAATGGCGAGGAATGTGAAAAACAGCCAATCAAAGATGGCACTGAGCCGGGGAGGTAAGGTTACGTTTATCTTTTGTTTCCTTTCGATTTTTCTTAATCGTCGAGTCAAACGATAACTGGTTTTCAAATCATATCGTATGTGTGGTTAGTTGAAAGCGTTCATACTTTGCAACAACGTTATGAGCGACTGCTGACTGTTTCGAGTGCACGCTGACATACGCTCTAAACGTGGGAAGGTATGAACGCTCTCTGACAGTAATCTCCGCTAGCAAGGTAAGTAAAGGAGGCACATTTGAAGGATTCCTTGTGCAAAACTAGAACTGCTACCATGGAGATGGGGACCTTTGCTAAACCTGTGCCGGGTGAATGAACCTATTTCAACTACGGTGTTCTATGCGGATGACGGGAATCCCAGTCTTGCGCAATGAATCCTCCCTCTAGTAGTGCTCTTATAGATATTGCACTTGGGAATGTAACATTTCCATGGTAGCAGTTCTAGTTTTGCATCTTGCACAAGGAAACCTTCAAGTTTCCCTCCTTTACTTACCTTGCTAGCGCCAATTACTGTAAGAGAGCGTTCATACCTTGCGCCCGCGTTTAGAGGCGTACGGTCAGCGTTCACTCGAAATAACAGTCAGCAATCTCATAACGCTGTTGCAAAGTATGAACGCTTTCAACTAATCACACATACGATATGATTTGAAAACCAGTTATCGTTTGACTCGACGATTAAGAAAAATCGTAAGGAAACAAAAGATAAATACCTCCCCGGCTCAGTGCCATCTTTGATTGCCTGTTGTTCACATTCCTCGCATTGGCAGTGAGTGTTACAGCTGAATAAAAAATATTTCACAAGTATTCAGACTAGACGGACAGCTAGTTTCGATAGGCACTCTGAGGATGTGG